CACACCTGCCTGGCACCCGCATGGAACCATTGACCACAGCAAACACTGACGCTGATTTGACAGACATCCTTTATTTAACTACGTGAGAGCCCATTGAGTTCACCATCTCCTATGACTGACGCAGTCTCACATGACCACCCCCACTGATATGGAGCCCCTGTCACTGACAGCAGCCACGGCTGGGAGTCTAACTCAGGGGTCTCAGCTGCCAGGAACTCACGCAGGCTCCACTGAGCACAGCTCTGAGTCACGGGCAGGCAGGGAGCTGGAGTCAAACTCAGGCCCTTGGAGAGGGCCGGCTCAGGGTCTCTGGCGTGGCCATTATGAGCCGTGTTCTATCACTCACTGTGAGGTTCTGGTGCAAGTGCAGTCGATACTCACGGGGCTTCTGGTTCTCTTGGATGACGTGATCTCCTGCAGCAAAAAACAACTCCAGCAACAGCAACCAGAGGAACAATGACTCCAAGGACGATGCCAACAGGTGATGGAGCTGGAGCTGGGGTTCGCGTGGGCGTTGCATCTGTCGGTTCTATTAAACACAAACGCAGACGACACAGAAACACATGAACACGTGAACACCTAAGAGATGCACACAGTCAACGTCTTCTTCCTCTTCCTGCCATGTCCCCCTCCTCTCGTGCGGTCTCTGCCCTGCAGCTCCTCCTGCTCTGCTCGTTGTTGCCTTGGGCCACCTCCGCGTCTACTTCCCAGTCCCTCAAATCCGCCGCGTTCGCCACTTCTACTTCCCTCGCTCTCGGCCTGCCCCTCCGTCTCTGCCCTGGTGCCTCCACGTTCATCGCCCTCGCGGTTGCCCCCTCCTCTACTAAGGCAGCCCCAGCCGTGTGAGCCGACTCCCTCTCTCCGCTCGAGTGAGATGAGCACCGCCACTCCCACCTACTTCTCCAGCTCTTCAGTTCTGACCGATCCAGTCCTGTGATCGCTGAGATCCATCGCACCATCCTCGTTTCTGTGCTACACAGCGTCTCTGCTCCTCCTGGTTGTCAGGAGGAGCAGACGTGCTCTGGCTTTATCGAACGCGCGTTCTGGCTCTACGTGGTGCAAGACCTAATGAGGCCTGTTTTCCGGAACACGGGAGGTGATGTTTCGGCTGGACGCTAAGACTCTCATCTCCATGTCGAAAAGTAGTGCCGTGAGGGTGCTGCATCCATTGGAATGTGCGAATTATTCCACTGTAAGAACCATTTAATTACCATTTGATCTTTTAGTTTGTCTTTCGTATGAAAAAGTAACACACTCGACATGCACAGCGATGCAATGGGAATGTTCACAGTGCCGCAAGCATCTCGCCGTCCAGTCTTTGAGGACTTTAGATGGCCGCCGAGATGGCGAATCGGCGATGGAGTTGGGGGCGAGCGTCAGGCTGGGAATTCATTGTCAGGGAAGAGCATTGGACGCGAGTTCTGCGGTGCGGGGATGAGTCGGGGGTTTAATGTTAAGGAGTGTACACACGCAAGACATGGAGAGTAACTCAGCATCCTTTAGTACAATAACAATGGCAGAAATGTACTAGTATTAGTGTAATGCGGGCGTAAACGGCCTCGCCGATATGACGTCACGGGGGGAGGGGTTAGGTCACGTGAGAGAGAGGGGCAAGCTCTTAAGGGAGAGAACCGGAAGAGACGGGAGGAGAGTGTGGGAATAGAGACGGAGTGAGGCCACGCAGGGCGGAGAGTGGAGAGTGGCGAGATCGCCACGTGGTGAGACTCGGCACCGTCGGCCAGCGGTGACCGGGCACGGGAGGAACGGGGAGCAGCGGTGGATCTGCAGTGAGAGCAGCTGAAAGACTGCACAAGGAAACCTGCAGCGGAGCTGCATCGGAGTGGAGAAAGGCTACGGGAGCGACGGCAGCTGTCGAGCTGCCAAGCGGGGAGGCTCTGAGCGAGGGCCGTGTGGGACAAGTTGTAAGAACCCGAATAAAGGACAACGGAGACAGACACAGTGAAAGAGTCCTTTATTACATTAGTAACACAGAGTGAGGGGTGATCATTTCAGACCCTGGAAGGCAACCCTAGTTTTCCCATAATGTCTATTATTTGTCGAACGCGGTTCTGCCAAACACGTCATTTTCTAGGAATGTAACCCCCCCGCGTACGGCGAGGCCTGCCTGTAAATGTTAAATAGTGATGGTGCTATTATAACCGAGCCTCGAGGGAGGCCATTGTTCATGATTCTCTTGCGGCTGTGTTCACCAGCGAGGTGTTCACCCTCAACGCACGGTTGCCCAGCATCGTGTCCATTAGGTGAACGGTAGAACAGCTTTTGATGACTTTTTGGGCCAATGTCGGCAGCAGGCAATGACGCCAAATGGAGTCATGGACATCCAGCAGGAGAGGTCAATCATCGCTGTGATGGTTTCCTGTTGATGCCGTAAATCGCCTTGCAGCTCCCACATCGGCACTTGAAGTGAATCCGAATCAGAAACGTATTTCCTGAGTAGAGCCCCTTGAGCTAAGAAGCTCTTTTTCAACATCAAAACATTCCACATCCCACAAGTGGACAACAATCTCATGGGACACAGAGACTGGAACTCAAGCTGTCATTGGCTCATGTAGACAACTCAACAAAGAGTCGAGTTTCTTGTACTACAGGATGTGATATCTGTGAGGAATAACAAAGACCCTTTATGGCTGTGATGGGGTGCAAGTGACGACGATCTCTGTAAGGGCTGATGCCAATGTTTATTAGGGGCTTACGCCTAGGAACTTAACAAGCTTACGCCTAGGAGTTAATAGGGGCTTAAGCCCAACAGTTATTACGGGCTATCCAAAATCTCCCCGAGGGAAGGGTACTGGGAGCCAGGCTATTCAGGCTCTTCCCTCAGCACCGACCGAGAGATCAGCCAACTCAGTCGGCCGGGTGAACTAGCTGCCCTAGCCTGGTGCTAATTCCCCCCTACCCTGGGTCCCGACTTCCAACCGCTGTCGTTCTCGGCCCCTGACGACGACCTCTTTCATATCACGGGTCCACGCTTATATCTCAGGGTGACAAGACGTCATCCCTCATACACCCCAGGGTGACATGACGTCATCAACTACTCCTCAACACCTGTGCCACAGAGTGAATTTTAGTGGTAAATCTGGACAATAAAGATAATTTGCAATCTCGCTTAGAGAGAATTATAAAGCGGTGGGTGTTAAATAGATCCAGGGAGGACATAATGCAAACCTGGTTCATTGTGAACGTTCAGCTGCAGATACCCGATGTCTTTCATGCTTGGCTTGTCGTGTCCATACATAGTGACCTCACAGCGATATCGTCCAGCATCGTGGATCTGGATGTCGCTGATGGTGATGGAGGCGTTACACGTCGACTCATCTCCCACCCACGTCACCTGCAATGGCCTGAGGCTTCTCTTTCTGTATATGATCTTATACACCTTGACGGAAAACGTGAGACACACCAGGGCATGACTGTGTGTCCACATAATACACATGCTCATATTCCGAAAACTGACAAAATATGTAAATAAAATTGAGTTATAACAGATACATATATAATACATCTAGGAAAGGACTCTTCTTCAGAGTAAAGAGAATGGAGAGAATTTGAGATTATTCTAGTTGAAGATACAACACTATACTGCTGGCTGAAAAACTTTTAAGTTGACAATGGGACCAGAAAAGGAGAGGGGGTGAACCTCCGTTGAAATAAATTAGCATGAACGGGCGTTATTAAAGAACATTTAATCATCATTGTGAGCAGGGGGGTGTAAGTAATAGTGTGCAAGTGTGACAGTGACGCACCTTCTCATCTTGTCCGTCTATGGTCCTGAACCACTCCACCAGCGTGTGTCTAATACCCGTGATGGTGCAGTTGTAAGAGCAGGGCAGGAGAGCCGTGCTGCCTACTGTAGCGTCCTTTGCATCCGGGGTGACAACGGCCAGGTCTGTGGACAAACCCACGATGGTCACATGAGCAGTGGGAATGAACCTCTAGAGGAGGAGGTGCTGCTGGTCTCACAACGCAGTGGTGACAATTAGGACAGAGAAAGCGGGCAAATACTTTCCAATAGACGAAGCATCTCTAGGTCTCTAGCAGAGCAGTGCAATTTTGGACCCAGGAACGTAACCATAGTCTTCCCGTTAGGTCTATTATTTGCCGAACGCGGTTTAGCCCAACGCGCCCTTTTCCAGGAACGTAACCCCCGCGTTAGATGCACTCTGCCTGGTTTGTTTAACTGCAAAGAGCTTGGAATTAGCCAAATTAAGTGCAACGTCAGATAACCAAATATGTTATGATGTTTGCCTTAGTACTGTTTTGTTTATTTAATTATTTCACCTGTTTAATCCGTTGAGCGGGAAAATCTGTTTTGCAAGGGTACTCAGGTAACCAGGCTAAGAATGACAAACTCATGAAACTCTACATCCGGATTTACAAACAGGTCGCTTTGTCTTGAACCCAAACTCTCTAGCAGAGCTAGTTCAGAACTCTGACCTCTGAGCCATCCAGCGACCTCATGAGCAAAGTTGTTTTAAGGTTGAGTCAATGAAAAGGAGGCCCAAGCCAGGATTGTATGCCAATTGAACACCAACATCGAAGAGTCACAGACAGGAATTGAACCCAGATGACCATGGTTCTAGGTGCACGGTTCTGTCACATGTACGTATTCATGTTGAACTATTTTCACACCGTACGTAGCAGGCACGGAGGTGCGGGGGAAGGACAACAAACCAAACACGAAAGTCAAAACGTGGATTTGTCGGTTGGACATTGAGTGGTAGGTTTGGCCTACATGACAGATGAATTGGAGTAGTGAGTGGTAGGTCTGGGCTACGTGACAGATGATGGGAGTGGTGAGTGGTAAGTCTGGGCTACATGACAAATGCGAGTAGTGGGTGGTAGGTCTGGGCTACATGACAGATGATACGAGTAGTGAGTGGTAGGACAGACCTATGAAGGACGTGATACAAACCTGTTCGTGGGTGGACAGTCAGCTGTAGATACCCAATGTCTTGCTTGTTTTGTGGATATACCGTGACCTCACAGCGATATCGCCCAGAGTCGTGGGTCTGGATGTCGCTGACGGTGATGGAGGCGTCGCACTTGGACACATCACCCACCCAAGTGGCCTGTACAGGCCAGTGGCTGCTCTCTCCATCGGTGTATTTATAAATCTGTGGTCAATAAAGGTAGAAGCAGCACACAGATCAAATGCGTTATATTATTTCTATATAAAATTCGTTCAGATAAAAGCCGAGAATTATTCTGTCTCCAGGGCTGCAACTGGGCTGGATTAACTGTTCACAAAGGAGCTTCACGTGGAGACTTTTCATATGGTTTGCCCATGCCTTCGCCCAGTCACGTGACCAGGGGCCCTCGATCTGGATAGAAAATACCAAATCTGTTCATCTGCGTTGGATATTTTAAATGCTCAAGAGTCACGTGATCAGGTTCACGAACAAAACTTATCAATTCCACGCCTGCGCTTGCTGACATTTTGTGGCAAGTGGCGCACAGAACGGACAGAGGAGTAACTCACCCTCTCTTCAAGCCCGTCTATGATCCTGAACCACTCCACAAGCATGTGAGTAACGCCGCTGATTGTGCAGGTGTAGGCGCAGGGCAGGAGAAATGTAGTGCCTGCCATGGCGTTCATTTTATCTGGGGTCACAACCACGAGTTCTAGGGAAACCACACACAATGCCCACATTAGTATATTTTCTTATCTAATGTAAATGTATAAACGCAAAACATTTGTCAGTAACAATGCATTTTTTAAGTACAGAACAAGCAGACCTCGTTGAACGCGGGGGGTTACGTTCTTGGAAATGCCATGTTGGGCAAAACTTTGTTAAACAAAAAAACAGACCTCGTGGGAAGACTCGGGTTGCCTTCGTGCCTTCAAATAATCACCCGCTCCCTCTTTGTTTAACTAATACTACAAGATGCCCGCCCTCGTTATTGTACTAACGGATGTTGAGTCGTTCTCACATCGTGTGTGTGTGTGTACACTCTTTGTCCATTTCAATGCAACACAAAACCCCGTCTCCATTCTTCATTCACCACAGCACTCACACCCTACGATCGCCACTAACACTGCCACTTGAACATGAATGATTCACCATCTCGTCGTCCGTATGACTAACGTTCTCAATAACCAGATGCATGATGTAATGTGTGAAGATTTACGTTGTGCTGCTGCTGTGCGTTTAGAGTGCATTACATTATCAAACAAAAAAACACATCCACACGCGCACACAGACATACATGGCAAATACATCATTCCCACAGTCGATTCACACACTCCAACGGACACAGCACTCTCACGCACTAACTTTTTATTACATTTCATTTAACTTTCATTTAACTCACTGTCAAATCTTGTAACTAAATTTTAACCCACTTCCCAATGTGGTATCGACTGCAAACTTGGTATACTTGTGTCATACTGATGACAATACTATATTCTATCATAAAAAAATAAGAAATATATTTTTAAACAATCTTTTTTATATGTTATGTTTCGGCTTGGGTCTAATTGTCCACGGTAAACTGACGTTGGCTGTAATTGAGCATGGTCCCTTACGTTATGGCAAGTTTCGGGGCCACTTCCTGGAGTCGTAAAGTTATTCCATTACTAGTACATTTCATAAAAGCGTGTTTTAAAAAAAACGTTTTTTTCATATTATTTTATGCAGATACGAAAATGTTAGCAGCGTCATACTGCGTTTCACCGAAATATCACCCCTGTGTTGTGGAAAACAAACCCCATCATCCACAACGTTACCAAATGTTATCCCTGTGTCCCGCCACTAATATATACATTAATTTGGTTTGCTCACAGAGTAGTGCAACGTGTCTTGCTAGAGAACAGTCCGCAGAGCGGATATCACAGAGCTGACTCTGAGATTCCTTCAAGCGACCTCTGCTGGTCCACACAGTTGGGAGCAGGACTTTCCCAAATTGCTCTTCCACATAGAACAGCGCTTATCGCGTGACAATCAATCAGATGCGTTTTAATTCTCAGAGATTTAATTTCGTCAATTAAGTGCAGAATTGCAGAAAGGGGGGGGGGGGCTTAGTCCATCAACTCACTCGACTTGAGGACTCGGTTAACTCGCAGACAAATGTCTGGACTTGAATCCATGCTTCTGAGTGGTGCTAGCTCAGAACTCTAACCTCTGAGTCACCTCCTATCCAACGTTGTTTTAAGACTGTGTACATGTCGGTGAGGAGCAGTCAAAGGTTCTGATGTTCATTGGTGGTGATGAAATCGTAGCCAGGGGTTGAACCCAGTTCACCATGGCACTGGGCCCACTCCTCTAAAGTGTACATGTTGAGTTCTATATCAGGTCTATAGGATAGATGATAGAGTTATGGGTGGTAATAAAGACATTTTAAGGAAATAACACAAACCTGATGGACTGGTGACATTCAGCTGTAGATACCCAATGTCGTGCTTGTTTTGTGGATACACCGTGACCTCACAGCGATATCGCCCCGAGTCGTTGGTCTTGATGTCACTGACGGTGATGGAGGCATCACACTTGGACACATCACCCATCCAGGTGGCGTGTAAAGGCCATTGTCTATCTCCATTGGGGAATTTATAAAGCTGTGTTCAACAAAAGCGAGAGCATGCACAGATCAAAGATGTATGTATGTTGTATGTGTGTTGTATGTATGTTGAAATTATTTGGCACAGTACATGGGCAAACCGTGCTAATCAGAAGTGTGGAAGGAAAACTAAACACAAACATCAGTTTTAAAGAAACGAGTTTTCAATCTAGATGATGATTTCAAAGTATATAGCTCCAGTGGCTTCCTAATATCGGAAGGCAGAGCATTCAAGATGGCCGCAGCAGCACATGTGACACCGCGCGATGCAGTGACCATCTTTGTTCGATGGCCAGCCAAAAGCCGCTGCGAGGATAACCGGTGTTCGTGCCTAGAATGAATAAGAATGTCTTTATCACGTGTTGGACGCCTTTTACCAGAATCAAAATACAGGAGGTTGTAAGATGTAGAGTTAGCACGGTTGGCTAGGTATCATGCGAAATAAGTTCAACGTACATACATACAAGAGACCTGGATATGAGCTATTCATTCACGGTAATTTTAACGGACGTTATGCCATCACAATGACATGTGACGTCATAGCTTTTGTACATATCAAACAGTCTACCAACACATGCATGCTAATTGCATTGTTTACCAAAATGTATATCAATATAACCATGGGAGGGAATATTTTGAGACGGGGTTTGGGATCATCCACCAACCCTTCACCACTAACTACGTATGTATAGTCCGAGAATTAACATCACTTGAGACTACTGATGCTGTTGTGTGTAGGGTGTGTAAGTATATATGCCTACTAAATAAATTAATAAAATTGGGTGGTGGAAGGGGTAAAACTAAATTGGGGAGGGAGGGTCAACAATTTTTGGAAACCATTTAGATAAACTTTTTTTTATAGTTTTGTGGACGGACAAATGAACATACAAACGATCTAACCCAAAGCAACCTGATTATGGATCACTCCCCCCCGTGTTCCGACAAACCACGTAGAGCCAAAGACGCGTTCGAAAAAGCCGCATTAGGCAAGGTTTTTCTGCATTCAGATGTCTTGCTAAGATAGAGAGATTTGTAACTCACCCTCTCTTCTTCACGTCCATCCATCATCCTGAACCACTCCACCAGCATGTGGGTAATGCCGCTGATTGTACAGGTGTAGGAGCAGGGCAAGAAAATCTTTCTGCCTGCTACGGCGTTCATTTTCTCTGGGGTGACGACCATAAATTCTAAGGAAACAACAACAAACAGCGCCCACTTTAGTACATCTCGTAGAAAAATGAGAATAGGTTTTACCCTTTCTGGCAATAAACATGCGGTGTGTTTAGATGTTCAAACATCAAATATAAAGACATTAAGTGTCGCATTGACCGCGCACAGTACTTGTGGTGAACAAGCAAACAGACGTGGCTCTAATAAGATATTAATTGTCTTTGAAACTGATTGTTCTACACCATAGGACAGACTTCTTCATGGCCTAGTCTCATCAGTATCAGACCAAAGAATGCCTAAAGGCAAACAGTACAAAGACAATGCACGTATCAGAGCGTTTGTAGCTCGGGGTGAGCAGCTATATCCCGTTCTGATGGCAATTGGACATCGGTGTTGATCAGATTCATAGCCAGGAGTTGAACCCAGATATTTGTATCCTTATAGTGGAAACATGTCATGAGATGCAGAATCCATTGGATCCCTCAAAGTGCAGCGCAACCTTTCGTGTTAAGAGTATGGCCCACAGAAGTAGATGTCACAACTACCTCTGACGTCCCATGAAGTGACCTCTGGTCCATGTGTGTGTGTGTTGAACTTCTTTCGCACCATACGTAGCCAACTGTGCTAATCGGAGGTGCGAGCAAACAACAAAATAAACACAAGAAAGCATTTATAAAGAAATTAGTTTGTCAATTCAGATGATGTAAAAGTGCACAGCTCAGTAGTCTCCTGATATCGGAAAGAAGAGCGTTCCAGACGGTCGCAGAAGCGCATCTGAAAACATGCGATGCAGTGACCGATGCCGAGCCAAAAGCCGCGGGGAGGATAACCAGAGATCGCGTGATGATGGTTTACACTCCTTGACGATCTCGAAAGGTGGTACTGTGGGTTATTTGTGGCAAGAACTTTTTCTGTAATAAGTGCGACCTTATCTTGAAGTACCCATGTTATGTTTCGGTTTGGATCTAATTGTCCACGATCAACTGACGTTGGCTGTAATTGGCCACAGTCCCTTACGTTATGGCAAGCTTCGGGGCCACTTCCTGGAGTCGTGGAGTTCTTCCATTACTAGAACATTTCATAAAAGTGTGTTTTTAAAAAAGTTTTTTTTAAATATTACTTATTAACCAGCTTGTCCCCTCGTAACGATTCGTTAAATGTCTCGTTTTGTAGTTAAATAATGGATTACTTTTATTAAAAATGAAACGGTTATTTAATGCTACTACGATTCTTGCTTGAGCATTACTTGTGTTAGAAGATCACTAAATTAGCTTCTATTGATTGTTATTTATTCATCATTCGTTTCCAGGTGCTCTCTAGCTGGTGGTGGTGATGATGACGGTGATGACGATGGTGGTGATGATGATGACGGTGATGACGATGGTGGTGATGGTTGTGATGATGATGGTGGTTGTGGTGATGATAGTGGTGGTGACAATGATGAAGATGGTGGTGATGATGATGTTGGTGGTAGTGACGATGATGGTTGTGATGATGGTGGTTGTGGTCATGATGGTGATGGTGGTGGCGATGAATTCGAGTTGACCACCACCTGCTATTGAACTCACCTCGTGGTGTTCTTCCTTGGCGCTGAGCTCCGGACTCCGAGCCATTCTCAACCCCCGCGCTGTCAGCGACCGCCGTTACTGCGGATAAATCAGAATCTCAGAATCAGCATTTATTTACTTATAATGGAGGAATCCGATGAGCTATGAAGCTCTTTCACAGATGATCCAGTGGGGTTAGAACGTTACACTGATGACGGTCGCATTAGGGGCGCCACTGTGGCGAGGAGATGTTAACTACCTCGCCTGGTATACAGGAGGTTGTGGGTTCGATCCCGACCCTGATGAGATGTTAACTACTTCGCCTGGTATACAGGAGGTCGTGGGTTCGATCCCGATCATGATGAGATGTTAACTACCTCGCCTGGTATATACGAGGTCGTGGGTTCGATCCCGACCATGATGAGATGTTAACTACCTCGCCTGGTGTACAGGAGGTTGTGGGTTCGATCCCGACCCTGATGAGATGTTAACTACTTCGCCTGGTATACAGGAGGTCGTGGGTTCGATCCCGACCGTGATGAGTTGTTAACTACCTCGCCTGGTATACAGGAGGTCGTGGGTTCGATCCCAACGCTGATGAGATGTTAACTACCTCGCCTGGTATACAGGAGGTCGTGGTTTCGATCCCAACCCTGACGCCTGTTGTATTGACCGTGTATGTGTGTGTTTATGTGTGTGGGAATGTGGGGAGCAGTAGTGTAGTGATTAGCTCTATGCTGCGATACGCAGCTGGTGACCTGGGTTCGATTCCCACTCATGGCCGACATCGGTGACGATTATCTGAACCGGTCCTGGGCCTCCTCTAGGGCCACTCAGCCTCAAATGAGTACCTGGTGCGGTGTGTAAACATCGCCACTGGGGAGACAAAGGCGGCCGGGCGTGGTGCCGGCCACTCAAACCCTCGTGTGCCGTTCCGGCCTTCATCGGTGCTGCTCGCTAACAGCACTTGCCCCTACAGCAGGGGTCTCAAACTCGCGGCCCGCGGGCCAATTGCGGCCCTCGGGACGATATTTTGTGGCCCCCACCTTAATATGAAAGTTTAATGTTAGTGCGGCCCGCGAGTTTTATATTGTAGCAACCCCGCTGTTAGCTGCTGTGTGGGACAATGTTATGATGCTCTGGTTTCCTACTGTGTGCCTGTCCAGTGAATGCGGCATGCATGTGAGTGACATGGGGGGCGGGGTCGTGTGTGTGTGTGTTTGTGTACGTGTGAGAGTGAGTGAGAGAGACAGCCGGGAGAGAAAAGAGTGGCTTTGGATGTGCGGAGAGCAGGAGGGTGAAATTCATAGTTTTCCGCCCTCTTTCGCGCAGATCATGATGTATCCAATGCTTCATTTGTAAATCACAAGGTGCCGGAACGCTAAGTACATATGACAGCGCAGGTACGACGAGCACAGGTCCCGGAACGCACATAAAACGACGCTTAAAACAGCACACACATGCCACTTACAGTGCAGTGGGACTAGGGGTCGGCACGGTTTGGCTCAAACCACCAAACCGCGGTTTGAACCGAACCAAATCGGTTTGGTTTGGCTCTGTTTGAACTGGTTCGGTTTGGTTTGGGGCTACGAAAACCGACTCGGTTTGGCTCGGACAGGGTGGAACCGGCTCAAACTAGTTTGGTTGGTTGTAAAGGCGACACGAAAGGACATGCAAAGGCAACTACTATAGTTGCCTTTGCCTGCGAATTCACTTTGCAATTGCATCTCCATGGCTCGAGCGGCTCAAGACGGCGCCATCCCCGGCGGCTCCAGCATCACAAGGTATCTCATCCACGACGTGGAAGAGACCAAACACGCCGGTAGCGACGAGGAGCCGATGGCGAGCGAACGTGAGAGCCCGGACGCCACGCGCGGCGACACGCGGCAGAGCCTCATGCGCACCCTCAGCGCTGCAGACCGCGACGCAGCCCAAGCCCAAGAAGGCCCATGTGTCCCGAGCGCTGTGGCACGACGAGTACTTTGAGACGAGCCAGGCCGCGGGCGACGTGCAGAGCCGGACCTGCAAGATCTGCACCCTCCAGTACGCGGGCTCCACCTCCTCGGGCACCCGTATCAAGCATCTCAAGACCCATGGGATCGTCGACCCCGAGTCGCCCACGGTCGTCACGTCGCCGCCGACGGGGAAGGGTTTGCTCGTGCAGTCCAAGATGGCCACGCCCATGTCAGCGCACGCGAGCAAGGCCATGGACAGCTTTGTCGCCGAGTACATCGCGACGAGTGGTCTAGGCCATAAACACGTAACATCGGATCCCTTTACGACTCTTCTTCAACGAGCTGCCCCAGGTTACGAGCCCAAGTCTGAGCGCACGGTCAAGCGCCGCATGCTCGAGATGTATGTCGTCCTCAAGCTACTCGTGCTACAGTACTTTACTACTTTTGGCTCTTGCGTCTCCTTGACCTACGACGATTGGACAAACGACGCCATGACCGGCTTCTTCTCGGTCACCCTCCACTGGATGGACCCGGCGTCGTTCTCCATGTGCAACTGCATCATTGACTTCTTTTGGGTGGCCCCGGGCGAAGGCGCGGGCAAGCGCATGGCGCAGCGCCTGCACGAGCTGCTCGACGACTTTGGCGTGTGGCCGCGCCTGCTCGCCGTCGTCACCGACAGCGGTTCTGACGCCGTCGCATCCGCCAAGTCCCTCACGCTCCTCGAGGGGAGCAACCTGCGCTCGACGTGCTGCTTGCGGTGCATCGCGCACTGCGTCAACCTCGGCGTCAAGGCCTCATTCGGCGCGTTCGAGACACTGCTGCGCAGCCTCCGCGCGACGCTCGGCGCTATCCGCAAGAGCAAGACGAAGAGGGCGGCCTACACGTCGCTCGCGCGGCACTACCTCAAGTGCCCGCTGCAGCCGCCTTGCCTCGACGTGGTCACACGTTGGGGTAGCACGTACGTGATGCTCACGGCGTCGCTAAGGCAGCGCCAAGTGATCGACGCCATCTGCCTTGAGCCCGGCTGGTCGCGGAGCCAGGCCGGCTTGTCGGACGAGCAGTGGGAGCAGGCGGCGCTGCTCTGCCAGTTCTTGGAGAAGCCGGCGGCCATCTCCGATGCCATGGGCGCCGAGGAGTACTGCACCATCTCGAACGCCATCACGGCGCAGGAGGCTCTCTTGAGCCACTGCATGACCCACCGCCCGAGTCCTCATGTGGTCGTGAGCTCGGCCGCCGTGACCATCTCCGACTACATGGTCAAGTACAGCGACCTTCTCTCGTCCGAACCAAGCCGCGTCGCCCGCTTTCTCGACCTGCGCCACCCCAAGCCCGCGGCCTCGAGCACCGAGTACAGCAATATCAAGGACATGATGACGGACATTCTCAACCAGCGCTACCCAGCGTTGACGACGGACGCGGCGCCGAAGGCGGCGCCGCGTGGCGGCATTAACATCCTCTTTGACATGGTCTACGCGCCCAACGCTCACGACGGCGCCGCCTCCGAGGTCGACCGCTTCCTGCTTGAGCCGACTCAGGACCTGAGCATGGACGTCGTCGAGTGGTGGAAGCTGTACGGCGGCAAGTACCCGCGCCTGCGACGCGTGGCCCTCGACTATTTGCCTATCCCGGCGTCGTCCGTGCCCTCCGAGAGAGCAAACTCGGCCGCCAAGCGCTCCTTTCTCGACCGACCCAACCTGCACAAGTGCACGTTCAAGGCCGAGATGTGTGTGCGCTCGTGGGCGCGGATGTTGCCTAGTGTTGGGGTTTCACTGCCATTGAACTACCACACTGCGTTCAAGGACATTGGGCGTGCCAAGCTTGAGGAGATGGCTGTGGACGACATCGTCGTCCAGTACTTGCTAGTGAATCTCAATATGAAGAAAGCCTGCGTAGAAATTAGCGATTAATACACTTGATATTTGTATTGAATGCGAATATTGTTTGCCGCGCATCTTTTCGGTTCAAGCCAACTCAAGAGGTTTGGTTTAGCTTAGTTTGGTTTGGTTTTGGTTTGGTTTGGTTCAGTCGTCGCTGGTTTGGTTTGCTCAATTTGAAACCAGTTTGAGTCGGTTCAAACCGTGCCGACCCCTAAGTGGGACTTATTTAGGCTATACTGCAGTGACGGTATCAGTCTTTGTGTCAGTGATTAATAAAGTGGCATCTTGAGCAAAGGCGACTTCTGTGTCCAGCGGAGAAAACGAACGGAACACACACACACAATTTGTTAAATTGAAGGGAAATTCAAGGTACACCACAGCTCCTTTACGCACACGCTGCGCTGTGAGGTTTTGGGAGCTTCTTTACGCAGACGGATTATTCTAAACCGCAGCAGTTTATAACACGTCATTGAGCTAATATCTACATTGTACAGTCTGGGCTGTTTTACATTATTATTTACACCTGATGTGTGTGGATGAATTTGAATGATTTAAATTCCCTCATCCTCTGGTTTTGACATTTACGCACTGAGCCACAGACTGTACATGACGATGTGCATATAATTATTTTGGTTCATCTTAGAAGTCTGCATTTGTTATTATTTCATGAAATTGTGATGCTGTTGTTAAGAAAGCTTTATATATAACTTATTAGATTATCTTGTTATTGCGTGGCCACAAATTAGTAATTCATCCGCCGATGTCAACAGGGGCTCCGTAATTTTCTAGTGATTACATTATATTGTTATATTTTATTTTAATCATTTCTTTAAAAACTTTTTTAATATTCATATTTTTTTCGATACGAGAGGTACCGGATCTGCTCAAATAAGTCCCGGAACGCAGGCAAGCCAACACGCCGGCACAAAGTAAGCACAAAAATGTATAGAAAAATGTGATGATGTGACTGAAGGCAGCGAAAGCCCCGACAGTGGCCAGCAGCATTTGAACCCCGTGGTCACACAATGACGCTGCCTCATAGAGTCCTCTCCTCTCCCTCTTTCGGCTCTCCACTGTGCGCGCACCGGAGCGCATCAAAGCGCAGATCCACAGCTCATCCCGGCTCAGATCCCCGTGCTTTGAACAGAGAAGCGTGTACAGTAGCAGCCGCTACAGCTGTGTCTGCCTGTGACTGCGGTGTGGGGACGAAATCTGATGGGAACGCATTACCCCCCCCCCCCCCCCCCCATAATGTACGCACC